TTTTTTAAAAAATCTGCCATGCTCAAAAGTAGTTACTAGCTCATGTACATCACATTATTTCAGAGTACTATTGAACTTCAAATCTTAATATGATGATTCTGATAAACTCTCTGTGCATAGAAGCATAGCTAAGACATGATTATCACTTTTTTCACCTTGCACTTAATTCTTTTTACTAGGTTTTTGAGTATGAAAATTTTATGTCTAATTTAGAAATTGACATATAAATATACATTGAATGTAATACTGATGGTCACAATAACTGGTTAAATTAAGGACTCATCAAGTTTGATTCTCATATCGTGAAGAAATCTAAATGCAGAAGGAAGCAAATTGTCAGGTTATGGCAAAGATAAAAATTAAATCATGAATAGTTATTAGACATTTCTCATTAAAATTATAAAAATTCTAAATTTTATCTTAAAAAAAGATTTGTGTGTGTGGCCGTCCCAGTGGCATAGTGGTTAAGTTCATGCACTCCACGTCAGTGGCCTGGGGTTCGCAGGTTTGGATCCTGGGTGCAGACATGTACACCGCTCGTCAAACTATGCTGTGGCAACGTCCCACATACAAAATAGAGGACGATTGGCGCAGATGTTAGCTGAGGGCCAATCTTCCTCAAGCAAAAAGAGAAAGATTGACAGTGGATGTTGGCTCAGAGCCAATCTTCCTCACCCCAAGGGGAAAAAAAAAGATTTGAAAAGATTTGTGTGTGTTGTTTTTACTATAGCAACTGTATTAGTTGTTTTTTTGTTTGTTTGTTTTTTTTTTTTGCTGCTATAACAAATTACCACAAACTTAGTGGCTTAAAACAACACAAATTTATTATCTTACAGTTCTGAAGGTCAGAAGTCTGACATGGGTCTCACTGGGCTAAAATTAAGGCATCAGTAGAGGTGCTAGAGGAGAATCCGTTTCCTTGTCTTTTCTAGCTTCTATAGGCTGCCTGCCTTTCATGGCTCTTGGTGCTTTTATTCCATCTTCAAAGCCAGCAGAGGTGGGTTGAGTCCTCCTCACATGACATCACTCTGCTCTTCTCTTCTACCTCACTCTTGCGTTTTAAAGGACTTTGGTGATTACCTTAGGCCCATCTGGATAATCTAGGATAGTCTTTTTATCTTAAGGTCACCTGATTAGCAACCTTAATTTCATCTACAACTTTAATTCCCTTTGCCATGTAACATAACAATCACAAATTCCAGGGATTAGGACGTGGGCATCTTTGGGGGGCCGTTATTCTGCCTACCACAGTAACATATGCTTCTTTTAAAAAATCAGAAAAATATGATCAGGCAAAAAACAACATATAAGCACCATAATACCATTCATCCATAGATGAAGCTAACACTTTGACATTTGTGTTCCTGTGTGTGTAAAATTTTATGAAATATGGTGTAACACCTCCTCTTTACCTCGTCACTCTTTTGGTAATCTCATTTGGTCTCATGGATTTAAATGACACCTAAACACTGATCCTTCTCAAATTTAAACCTCAGCTCTGACCTCTTCTTGAGACTTGATAGATGAGAATTATCAGAGAACTGATAAATGCAATTGCCTTTATCAAGATCCCACTTGGATATTTAGCAGGCATCTTAAACTTAATGTATTTGAAACTAAAGGCCTGATCTTATCTCAAACCTCACCTCCCCCAGTCTTCTCCAGCTCATTAAAGGGCAACTCCAACTTTGCTGTGGCTCAGGATAAAACGTGTGCCTTATCCTTGACTTCTCTCTTTCTCTGCCATCCCACATCTCATCTATTAGCAGGTCCTTCAGAATTTGTCCAGAATCTGATTTAACGCCACCCCCACCTGGTCCAAGTCATCGTCATGTCTCATCTGCATTATTGCAATAATCTCTTAGCGGGTCTTTCCATTTCTGTTCTTGCATCCCCATCAGATCCCTTTAAAACAGAAGTCAGATCAGGTTCTCCTCTGTCCCATGGCTTCCCAAAGTCAGAGTCCTTCCAGTCATCTATAAGGCCCTCTATCTGACACCCTATTTGACCTTCTTTCTTACATTCGCCTCTTGGCCATTCAGGTCCAGCACGCTGGCATCCTTATTTATATGTCTGTCTGTCTTCCCTTACTAGGATGTTAGCCTCACGAAGGCAAGACCCTTTGTTCTATTTTGACCATTGTTGTATCCCCAGTACTAGACTATTGCAAGGCACATAGTAAACGCTCAAATATTTGCTGAATAAAGGCTTTATAATTTTTTCTATCTCTTTCTTTCTCATTATATTACTTTTCTCCTTTTTGAACCTAGCTTTGTTGGGTAACAAGAGGTGGTCATGGTAAGACTTGTTAATTGAAGGGCATATTTTAAAGAGTTCTAATTTTTTCTTAGACTACATATGACAACATCTCTCCTATAGAGTAGGATTAGGTTTAGTAATAAGAATGTTCTGTATCCTAGTTAACATTTCCTCTTTCTCTCTTTTTTGGCTCCTCCTCATGCTACCACCATCGCTGCATACCAAAAATGCTTCTTACTTACCTTGGGATGGGCAGAGTTACTGATATCTATTTCCCTTTTATCCAAAGACTTCTCCTTTATTCTAAAATAATTTATTAAGAAAAAAATGCCACAGAGAGTCAAAAGACCTGGGTTTGAGTCCCGGCCCTGCCGCTGGCTATGACCGTGGTCACCTAATTCACTCTTGGTTTCCCCTTGTTAAATTAGAATAATAGTAACTAACTGTCCTCATAGAATTGTCTGAGAAAGTAAAGTAAAATAAAGTATTTGAACATGGTTTATCAACTCGTGAGCGACAGGCAAGTGGGAACAATTGGATAAGTTATGTAACTATGAGCCAAGGAACACCTGGAACCACTAGAAGCTGAGAGGAGCAGGGAAGAATCCTCTCCAAGAGCCTTCAGAGGGAGCGCAGCTCTGCTAACACTTTGATTTCTGATTTCCAGCCTCCAGAACTGTGGGAGAATAAATTTCTGTTGTTTTAAGCCACGAAGTTTGCGGTAATTTGTTACAGCAGCCCTAGGAAACTAATACAGAAGGTTATAGTACAATGACTAGAACATCATAGAATATCATTGTCATCACCGACAATAACATTATCATCACTGTTATTCTTATAACCTAGCATGGGACGTGGAAAGTAGCATATGCTCAGAAAATGGTCTGAATAAAAATACGGTTCTTGCCTACGAGGTTCCGGTCTGGTGGTAGTGGTGGTGGTGTTGATGAGAAGTGTGTTGAAAAGTGGTATTGAAATTCGAGAGCTTCCAAAATAAATGCCCTCTTAATTTTTTGTTTTAAACGTCTTTTTGTGTCTTTGTGTGAAGGGTGGTAGTGGATGTTTTTAAATTGTTTTTTAGAAACATTTTTTTATAAATTATCCTTTTATTTATTTTTTATTTATTTTTTTTTGTGAGGAAGGTTAGCTCTGAGCTAACATCCGATGCCAATACTCCTCTTTTTGCTGAGGAAGATTGGCCCTGGGCTAACATCCGTGCCCATCCTCCTCTACTTTATACAGGACACCGCCACAGCATGGCTTGAGAAGCGGTGCGTCGGTGCGTGCTCAGGATCCGAACCTGTGAACCCCAGGCCACCGAATCAGAGCGCACGCACTTAACCGCTACGCCACTGCGCCGGCCCCTAAATTATCCTTTTAGAATAAGACTAATTTTGTACAAATAGAAGTCGTAATGCTCCCCTCCCCCCAAAATAGAAAAATGATGAGCAGTTATAGTTCTAATAATAAAAAAGTCTTGAAATATTTCTTCTTTTTCCTAATAGAATGTTATTTAGCTAAAATTAATTTTGTGCTGGTTGGCCTTGAAATACAATTTAAAGAAGTACTTTGGAGCCATAAAGTAATTTATTTCATTGTGCTATCAGGTACTTGAAAACCAAAATTTTCCAGTAATCATAAACCCAAGCTTGGTAGGCTGTATATATCATTTGTCTGTAAATTTTAGTTTGCCGCTGGAAGCTAAGTCTGTGACCTAAATTTTATTAAAATTTTATAAATTAGTATAATAATAGTAGCTAATGTTTGTTGAGCTCTTACTCTGTGTAGGTACTATTTCAAGCTGTTTATATGAATTAACTCATTTCGTTCTCACAGCCATGCTATTCTCTTACCTAAGAGGAAGTTGAGGCACAGACTGGGTAACTAACTTGCCCAAGGTCATTATAGCTTGAGTGGCAGAGACCCAGTGGCCATGACTCATAACCTCTGCATTCTCCTGACGCTCAGTGTACCGTGTCAGATTTCATTGTCTGATACAGTTGGAAGTGGAGAGTATCAGTAAATCTAAGTAAAGGATCCTCATCTAATTCCGTAGTGGTTCCAACTGTAGTGTGCTTGCTTACAGAGATTCTGATTCATGGGGCTGGGAATATGCACTTTTACTAAGCACCCAGGCAGTTCAGACCATACTTTGAGATACACTGATCTAGTTACCACACAATCCTCATAGTTCGTTTCACACAAAGGCTTGTCGTTATTGTTGTTGTTGTTTGTGTGCTTATAGGCCCTTCTTTGTATATATCTGTGTTCCAGATGAGTCTGTTGAATACATACATGTATCTAAACTTATGCCTCAAGGGCCCACACTACTAACATTTCTTTTGTAGAGAATGAAGGAAAGGCCAGCATCAGGGAATTTTTTTTTTAACCTTTTGAATAAACTTCAGAATAGGATATATTTGACCTGAGGAAATTGTTAAGATGAATGTAAGGTCAATAGACAGAAGAAAATAAGCATGACATAAAATTTCTACCCTAATGGGGTTTTTTGTATATTTGTTTAGAAGAAAATTTTAATGTGCGTTGCACAGTAGAGTGATAGTTCCATGATTTGGGTTATTCTGAATATTAATTGTAGGCAGGGAGAGTCTTTTCTCTTAAATTTGGTAAGAAACTTTCACCCATTTGTACTACCAAGAATTCTGATTATAAGTGTTTTGGGATATAGGGAAAACACTACACTTGCAGTTTTATTACTTCAGTGTCTTAGTTTTATATTGAACTGGCAAAAATATGTTTTTCTTTCTTTTAGGGAGTCACAAATCACATTGAGCCAAAACCATCCAGTGTTTTCTTCAGTTACAAACAAAATGAATATTTCCATGCTGCTACAGCATCCTCACCGGCATTTCCTAAAAGGCCTTTTAAGATCACCTTTCCGACATTACCACTTCATCTTTCACTCAAGCACTCATCTCGGATCAAGAATCCCACGTGCTCAGCCATTTTATTCTCTCGGACTCCATTGTGCAAAGTGGATGCTGCTGTCAAATGGTTTAAAGAGAAAATTATGTGTACAAACAACCTTAAAGGAACACACAGAAGGATTTTCTGATAAAGAACAAAGATTTGTGGATAAACTTTATACTGGTCTAATCCAAGGGCAAAGGGCCTGCTTAGCAGAAGCCATAACTCTTATAGAATCAACTCACAACAGGAAAAAAGAGTTAGCCCAGATGCTTCTTCAGAAAGTATTAGCCTACCACCGAGGACAAGAACAATTAAATAAAGGAAAACCACTAGCATTTCGAGTGGGTCAGTCTTTTTTTTTTTTTTTTGGTCTGTCCAGTAAATATTTTTCTAAGTTCTCTCTCTTCTTTTAAAATAAGTCTAAGTAGTTTGTGTTCTAATGGGTTTTTTTTTTCTTTTCAGAATTTTGGGATGAATTTTTAATGCCTTTTCTTTGCAAATATTAGTCTTGTTATGTTGAAAAAATATGCCGTGACCATTTGAACCAAGGATCTGTATTTTAAGAGAATAGTATAAGATTTTTATTTTGGCGAGAATCTTGCTATGGCTCCCAGAATAGAGATATGCATAGGAAGAACTGTTAACCAGTTTACTCCTTTCTCTCCATAGTCCTTCTGCTTAATAGTCTAAAGTGAATTCCCTGTTTTTGTGGTTATATCAACTATAATTATCCTTATTACATGTCAAAATTCTACTTCTTAGGTGTTTCATTAGTCTTTTTATAGGCAAGTCTCACTTCTTTCAGATACTTTAGAGTTAGAGTTTCTGGGAGTGGCTTGGCTCTAAGCCCAGCCATCTCAATACCAAAATGTATTTTAAAGGAGAGACCATGTTCATTTGCTGTCTAAAAATATTAGATGTTCACTTGATTTCTTGAACAATTGACTTGTTTCTGTAATTGCAAATAAGCTTGTTATACTTTTGAAGTTGTGCATTTTAAAACAATTTAGATACATTTGACTAGCAGGAATTAAGCAAGTCAGTTTTGGGCGGAATGAGAGCTTTTCCTGATTCCAGCCAACCCTCTTACTAAAAACAGCTTGAAATGGTGGACAAAGTGCAGAAATTTTATAGGGAATGATTGAATACACTTAAAAATTGACTGGCATTACATTAGACTTCTATATCTCAGTTTATTGGCAATATGGGGACTAAAATCGCCTGGTTTTTAGGGTAACAGGAATAAATGCTTTAAAGATAATTTCAAAAATAGCTCACCAACTGATGTTTGTCCTAGTCCACATTTTTCACACATCTTATTCTCCTGCCCTCACTGAGGGAACTCTCATTTTGAGAGTTCTACATTGGGTGTTAATAATCTTTATGTGTTGTAGACAGACAAGATGGCAAACTCCCAAAGAGAAAGTCCAGTTATGACAGTGTTTACTTTTTAGGCTTTAGAGTCTCTTTAAAGAGAACATGTCCCAGAAATATCTGGAGTTAACTAGCAACTCACACATAACTAGCAACTCACAAATTTGCATTGCTGTTCTGGTTCTTCCTTCTTGATCTTATGAGGCCAGAAAAACCTGTGTCTTTATTGCACTTATTTTATCACCATCGTAAATAAAAGCAACAAATGTTTATTCAGCACCCACAAAGACGTTCAAGACAGAGACCTGTCCTGAAAATTGTGGTGGGGAGCCAAGCATACTGTATACCATATATACTTTTGAATATATTTACAATTAAATGCTTATGTTTTATATACTTTATTGAATATAGGCTTTTATATCTCTTACTTTATGCCATGCGGTGCTCTAAACATACTGCAAATATTAACTCATCTAATCCTTACAACAACCTGAAGAGAAAGGTACTATTATTATATCCATTTTACTGCAGAGTATACTCAGGCACAGAACAGTTAAGTAACTTGCCCAAGATGACACAGCTCATAAGAGTCAGAGCTAGAAATAGAACTGGCTGACTGGTCCAGAGTTTGTGCTGAGACAAATTATTTTTTTCAGGATTCAGTTTATATTATATTCTTTGAGTTATGGGTGAGATGAAAAAAATTATCTTTTATAAATAGAAAGTTATTTTCTCAATCACTGAGAATTTCTAGAGAAATGAGTTGTTTTTCCAAAAGGAAGATAAAGCATACAGAATTGAGGTAGGTGGAATAATTACTGATCATGATGAGAGGTGGGCAGATGTAGAAATTCAGCACATGAACAACATAGGCAATGAAGTCTATCCAAAAAGATCTACGTTATAGTAACAGGCAAGTCACATTTTGTAATTTTTAAAATTTGGTGAACATATTGAACTCAGAATTGTTTCTTTCCTATATCCATATTACTCAGGAACTAGATAAATAAATAGATTTTCATTTACTGCTTTAGGAAATGTTAAAATACATTAATGATGATTTTAATAAATTAGGAGAAATAGAAGGTAGTCTAATATTTTAACAGAACTCATCATAGTGCTGATTTCATTTATTACATTAAATTAGAAGATCTCTTTCCATTGTAGGATTGTCTGGGCCCCCTGGTGCTGGAAAATCAACCTTTATAGAATATTTTGGAAAAATGCTTACTGAGAGAGGGCACAAATTATCTGTGCTGGCTGTGGACCCTTCTTCTTGTACTAGTGGTGGTGAGTATTGCTGATTCTTTTTAAATTGCAGAGCAGGGGCTCGTGAGGCTCTCTGTGACAATTTAGTGGGAATTTGCACAGTCAGGTGACTTCTGACCTGTAGCTGAGTTTGGTCCCACTGAAGGAAGGGAGTTCTGCGGGGCGAGGTGGAGGCTGAGGGAGGTAGTTTGGGGCAATGGGCTCTACAGAGGAGGTCAGCTTGTGGGTGGCCCAGGAGGAGCCTGGGTACTTAGAGAACTAGAACAGGTGCCAGAGGTTGAAGATAATCAAGAGCAAACTTTAGCCTTTTGGCTATCACACCACAGACCAGGCCCCTCTTCCCTCTTCCTGTTGTTTTTCCTGGCTGCATCAGCCCCTACACAATTCAGAAAATGGGTCCTTACTCATTCATTATTTTCCTCATATTGTTGTAACATCTCTTAAGCTTTAAAAAAAAATCCTACTGCTCTTTATAACTTGTCACCTGTTTATATTACCTGTGCAGTTAAACAGAAAGCTCTTCGAGGCCTCACGTAATATACTGCCCTTCCCTCTACAGCACTTAGCATAGGACGTTGCACACAGTGCCCAGCAATTACTTGCTGATTTGAGGTCATGCAGTCACTCAAAGTTTAATTTGCACCTCATCAGAGATAAAATAAATAAACTTAGCTCCCCAAAGTATCATTTAAATAAAACATAAAGCGTACCATATAAATACTCAGGAAAGGTTTTTCTTCCCTTACTTCTCTTTGTGATTTAAGCTTCACACATTACAGTTCTTCATTTAACAAGTATCTGAATGCCTACCGTAGGTGAGGCATTGTGCAGGGAAGGTGCTGTGTTGTATAATGATGAATAAAACACAGTCCTCTTGGCCTTGGGAGCTTTATATCTTACGAGGGAAACATATGAGTAAACACAGGCCAGTGCAATATAATGTGTGTTGTGAAGGGGAGCATACAGGGTGCTTGTGGAAGTGTTTGGTTTGTATACTGTGGGTTTAATGCTAAAAAATAAAGATGATATAATCATATTTCAGGGGCTTTAGGTCAACAGAGAGGTGGACAACAATTCCTATTACCACCCATTGAGAAATTTAGCTGAGAACATTCACAGTTTTTGATTCACTGTAATAAAAAGGTTAACCATAAAATAAAATTTATGCTTACAAGGTTCAAGATTAAATCCATGTCAGTGTATTGTCTTATTTACAGTCTAAGAACTTTGTTAAAGGCAAGTACTTGAACAAAGAATTATTTATAGCGGCCCTCATTTTTATATAGGTAAGAAGGCTTTTCCCCCCACCTTCATAATATTCTAAAATACTTGCAATATCAAAAGAAAATAATAGCTTGAGATATTAATAGCAGAAATGGTGACATAAGATAGACTGATTCAAGTTGCCTAGCTATGTGGTTCCTAACCTTTCTCAAACCGGAAATGAGGGTCCCTTTCTCACTAAAAAAATATATATACTTTGAAAGAAAAAATACACAAGGATAAGCAGGATACTATAAGTATACATTTCTACCTTATTATTGTAACAATACGTACATTGGAAAAATAGTATTACATTAGAGTTTAAGAAGCATTTGCTTTTTGGCCTACAGTCAATTCTTGTGCTTTGGATTCATGGACCTCCTGCAACAGCTCTGAGACCTCCCTGAGGGTTTGCATCCAACAGTTTGAATTCACTGGCAAAGACAATTATATGAGAGAATAATTTCGTAATGTTTATTTCAGTGTGTTAAGATCTATAGCATAATAATTTTTAAAGTATAGCTTTGGCCAATTGTTGACTTACACAGAAATGATTTCATGCAGAAAATGACTTTAGAAAAAAGTTTTACGTGCAGTAAATAAGGTAGTTGAGCTATGTGGTAGGTATATGCTCTAGAATGAGAATCTATGAGAACTCTAAACTGGAATCATAAAAGAAAAGAGTAGAGGCTGGGCCTGGTGGTGTAGCGGTTAAGTTCACGTGTTCTGCTTCAGCAGCCCAGGGTTGACAGGTTTGGATCCCGGGCATGGACCTACGCACTGCTTATCAAGCCATGCTGTGGCAGCATCCCATATAAAGTAGAGGCAGATGGGCACGGATGTTAGCCCAGGGCCAATTTTCCTCAGCAAAAAGGAGAAGGATTGGCAACAGATGTTAGCTCAGGGCTAATCTGCCTCAAAAAAAAAAAAAAAAAGAAAAGAGCAAATCTTTAAGGAACTTCTCAATGTTTAGCATCAACTTCATGTGGAAAAGTTACCTCTTAGGCAGAATGAAAATTAAAATTCAGGTTAGAACAGCACTTCTTCTTCAAATGTTATTATATGGCTAAAGGAAAGAAGTTAAAAGTAATTTCAGTAGTTCCAGCGTTCTAGAATTTGTAAGTATTGATGTTTGCCAAAATACTGCAGTAAGCCCTAAAACATCACCAGTTCTATTCTGTAGGTATTAAAATAATTGTCTACTGTGAACAAGCATTCAGTGTACAAAATATGTAAGACACGGTCCTATACGCAAGGAACTTCTGTTAGAGCAGGGTTTCTTAATCTGGGCACTAATGACATTCTTTGTTGTGGGCAGCTTTCCTGCACATTGAAGGATGCTTAGCAGTACCCTTGCCCTCTCCCCGCCAGATGCCAGTAGCACCCTACCCCCCAATTGTGACAAGTAAAAATGTCTCTAGACATTGCTAAATTTCCCTTGGGGGCAAAATCACCCTCAGTTGAGAACCATAAACACAACAATGTTAAGATGACAAGAAAGAAACCACCCTGGTGGAATGGAAGATTGGTTTGGGGACTAGTGGAAGTTCAAATTAGGTAAGGTAGGGCTAGATTCTGAGGGCCTTCAATGCTAGGGTGAAGAATCTAGATTTGAACCTCTCGTCAGTGGGAAGCCATTATAGGTTTTGAGGGTCTTGAAAGGTTAAAAAGATTAATTTGGCATCATCGTATACACTGTATTGGAGGAAAGCTCAATAATATGAAATTTGAGATTTGGGGAGAAATGTCATAAAGCACTTCCTCTAGGAATTGGCTGATTGATAACTGGCATTTACAAGTGTTCCACGATTACAAAATATAATTGTGTGTTTTAGGATCACTCTTAGGTGATAAAACCCGAATGACTGAGTTATCAAGAGATATGAATGCGTACATCAGGCCATCTCCTACTAGAGGTACTTTAGGAGGTGTGACAAGGACCACAAATGAAGCTATTCTGTTGTGTGAAGGAGGAGGATATGACATCATTCTTATTGAAACCGTAGGTGAGTGTGATTTTCCATTTCATAACAATAAAATACTATGGTAATGAATGCTATGTAAAGATGAGTGACAACTAATTTCATTTTGTTCATTCAGCAGATATTTACTAATGGTGTAATTAAATACATGATATTTTTTCAGACTCTCTAGGATATATGAGTATTTAGGCTGTAATCTTCAGCCTCAAAGAAAAGAAAAACAAGCCATGTTTCTGATAACTGTTATACAATGTTGTATGTTAGTAAGTGCCGGAGAAGAAGCATAAGGATGACCTACAGAAATGGTACTTTAACACAATGCCTGTTTTGTTTAAGCACATTTCATACGTCTACAATATTTGCTGAGAAAATTAATGTAGTTGGGTACCTCTTGAATACAGGGCCATGTTTTATTTCATCTTTATATCCCTAGTACATCATTACATGCGATGAAAATACTGAAATGGAAACCTCAAGAAGTACACATTCTTGTGGAGAGACAATCTGTTATATTACTGTGTGATAAATGTTTGTGACAACCTGACTCAGATTTGGGGGATCAGAGAAGACTTCTGGGAGGAGGTGACAATTGAACTCAGTTTTGGAGGAAGAACGGGAGTTAAACAAAGTGTGGGCTCAGGGCATTTGCAAAGACAAAGGAGTGAGAGAACTGGCCTGTCCAGAGAACTCTAGTTTGTTCAGGATACTTAGAGCATAAAGTGTAAGGCAAGGAATGAAGAGGGATGGGGCTAGAGACTAGAAACTCCACCATTTCAGGGTGGATGGAGGAAAAGTTGTCTGATAGATGTTAGCTCAGAGCCGGTCTTCCTCAGCAAAAAGAGGAGGATTAGCATGGATGTTAGCTCAGGGCTGATCTTCCTCACAAAAAAAAAAAAAAAAGTTGCCTGAGTGGTAGTAGGAGAATCAAGGGAGAAGAGGTCTGTAAAGACCAAGTGTCTTGCCTGGAAGTTGCATTTGGCTGCTTGTCCCAGAGACTCAAACTAACTGTAACTCAAACTAGAAAGAGAGAGAGGTTTATTTTCTTGTAAACAAAAGAAGCCTGGAGGCAGGCAGTTCTGAGCGGGCTGGTGGTTCTACAATGCCTTACATGTTCTGGCCTTCTGCTGTCTCTCTACTCTCCATTCTTAGCACTCAGTTTCCATCCTCAAGGTTGCTCATGGTTAAAAGATGGCTGATGAAGCTGTCACATCCATGTTCCAGGTAGAAGGAAGGAAGAAGGGGGAGTAAGGAAGGGGTAGGCAGAAGAGGTATACCTCCTGGCTGGGTTAGCCCTCTTTAAAGAGCTTTCATGGAAACACTATCTAGTGACTTTTGCTTTCATTCTTTAATTATCTCTAGCTGAAAGGGGGTCTGGTGAATGTGGTCTTTCACCTGGTACGTTGATAACCCTAGTAACATTGGGGTAAGGAAATTGGGAAGAATCGATATTGAATGGGCAACTCTATAGAAGTCTCTGCCACACCAAGGAAGGAGAGAGTTTTGAGAGTTTTGGTGGAGTAGGGATGTGGAAGCCAGATTTAAGTGGGTTGAGATGAATGTGAAGTAGAGAAGTGGAGACAGTGAGCATAAATTGCTTTTTTCCAGAAACTTGGCTATATAAAGAAAATGAGAAATATGGTCGTAGTTGGAGGAGGTTGTGAGTTTTTTTTCTCGTTTTGTTTGGTTTTAAGATGAGAAAGACTTGAGCACAATTCATGTGATGTGCTGAGGGACAAGAGTCTGTAGACAAACGAGAGGTTAAAGATAAAGCAGAGTACAGGGCCTAGAGGAAGTGAAGAGGAAGGAAAGGTTAACCTTCAGCCAGTACTTTTTACACCAAGACTGGAGAGGAGGCAGTAGGCGATGTTTGTATTTGCATCTGCTTATCTGTGGAGGGGGAGAGGGAGAAGCTGAGCAAGTTCTTGCCTTTATTTCCCCTGTAAAGTAGGTGCCACACTCATCATCAAGTGGGGAGATTATGGGAGAGTGAATGTTTATAGTAGTCGCTGTGAGAAATGGCAAGGAAGCTGATGGAGGGCATTTAGGGACATTGCTTTTCCATTAGGAAGATGTAGCAGATGTTGGAGACGGTGACCCTGTAGTGGTGCCTGTCTACACAGTTGAGCGAGTTCTCCAGCATGCTTATAGTTGGATTGATCCATGGGTGGGGTTTGCAGGGCTGATATGAGGGTGAAGGCAAGAAAGCTGAGAGTATTGACAGGCATGGTCTAAGGTCGGAATCACAGTTCAAGCTGCACACCAAGGAGATGGCAGCCGAGCAAGAGCTGTGAGAGTGAGGAGAGCATGGAGGACTCGAGTTTCTCCATTCAATCGAAGACTAAGTCTAATGGGAATAAGGGAGGGAGAAAGCTGGGGAGGATTGCAGGTTTGCTCATAGGGTAAGACAGTGGCATTTAATAAATTCTTCAGAGGTGAGTGTTTAAAGTGGGATCAGGTTGAGAGTGTGATCGTGAGTATGACTGAATGAAGTGGGATGGAAATGATGGTCGATGTAGTTGAGAAAGTCACATTACTATGAATATATTTTTTTTTCCATTTATTTATTTATTTATTTTCCCCCAAAGCCCCAGTAGATAGTTGTATGTCATAGCTGGACATCCTTCTAGTTGCTGCATGTGGGACGCGGCCTCAGCATGGCCGGAGAAGCGGTGCGTCGGTGCGTGCCTGGGATCCGAACCCGAGCCGCCAGCAGCGGAGCGCGCGCACTTAACCGCTAAGCCACGGGGCCGGCCCCACTATGAATATTTTAATATATAGTTGTAATTTAAAATTTCAGGTGTGGGCCAGTCGGAGTTTGCTGTTGCTGATATGGTTGACATGTTTGTTTTACTACTGCCACCAGCAGGTGGAGATGAATTGCAGGTAATTATCTTGATTTTTTCCCCCTAAAATACGAAGTATACATCTCTGAAAGTACAAATTTCCAAGGTTGTGTTTTTGTAAATTAAGTCGATGGGGTGTAGGGAAAGAATCATCATTCACATTGGCTAAAATACCTAGTCAAAGGCAAATTCTCTATATTTTTTCCCAACTTAAAGTAATAGAATATATGACCTTGTGCTAATCATATGACTTAGATATTTCCCCCTGTAACATGGGAGTGAATGGAATACAGGGACAGCTCCAGCCAAAAGAGACCACTGTTGTGTGGGTGTGTAGTACAGTTGGTTCAAAAGTTTCTCATAAAATATCACTTTGTTTTTAACTAGGATCCCACTATCATAGTTTGCATATTATAAAATAGGATTCTTACTTTCCTCCTGCAATGCAGTTCTGGCATTAACTACCGGGAATTATAGAATTAGCACAGACTTCACAGGTTGAGGGCATAGGCATCCACAAGACTGCCCTCACTCCAGACACCAGCTGCAACCTTGGGGGTTCCAAGGCCACCCATGCCTCTGACCAACTGGCTACAAATGTAGTGGTTTCCACTACCCCTCAGGTTCGGTAATTCACTATAATGACTCACAGAACTCAGGAAAGTACTATATTACGGTTACAGTCTATTATAAAGGATAAAATCAGGACCAGCCAAATGAAGAGACACATAGGGAGAGGTCTGGGAGGGTCCCAGACTTGAAGCTTCTTTCTCCTTAGGATGCATTTCCCTCCTAACTCATTGTATGTATCACCAATTAAGGGAGTTTGCCTAAGCGTCAGTCTCTGGAGATTTTATTGGGGTTTTAGTATGTAGGCATGATTGACTGAATCATTGTGCACATGATTGAACGCAATCTTCAGCCTCCTTCCCCTCCCCAGAAGTCAGGCTGATATCACGTGGCTCAAAGGCCCTACCCTCTAATCACATGGTTGGTCTTTCTGGTGTGGTCAGCCCCCCTTCTCAGTGATCTCATTGCATAAACTCAGGTATGGTCCCAGGCACCCACAGTGAATAACAAAGACACTCTTGTCACTCAGGAAATGCCAAGGATTTAGGGGTCACCTTCCAGGAACCTTGGACAAAGACCAGACAAATTCTTTATTACACAACACCTCCTTTCAATTGTATAATTCTTAAAAATAGTGATAGCAGACTATGGATGCTGCAATTTAGAAACATTAACTATTGGAATTTAATCATTGAAAGTTATATTTAAAAATATTTGAAAAGAAATGTTAATCGTAGATGGAAAATCTACATTTTCCAAATAAGGTTTGGCCTTAGGATTTCTAGTGTTTTCTTGTGTTTTCTTTGGTGAGGAAGATCAGCCTGGAGCTAACATCTGTTGCCAATCGTCCTCTTTTTGCTGAGGAAGATTGGCCCTGGGCTAACATCCGTGTCCATCTTCCTCCACTTTATACGTGGGACGCCCGCCACAGCATGGCTTGATAAGCTGTGGGTAGGTCCGCACCTGGGATCCGAACCTGCCAGCCCTGGGTCACAGAAGCGAAGCACCTGAACTTAACCACTATGCCACCAGGCCAGCCCCTCTAGTGTTTTTACGCAATATAATTTAAATCAAAAGATGGAGGCATTTTTAGCCATCAGGTTATTTTTCCTCAAATGTAAATTGAAAAGAAAATGCTATAGACATTTAAGGAGAACTTCAAAGACTTTGTTTCTGGAAATGCAGACATTAGTGATATGTGTGTTTTCTTTTTAAGCACCTTAATGATGGATGGGTTGTGTCTTGCAGTGTTAGCTCATCAGAAGCAGAATCAATCATGAGACAATGTGAACTGTCTCCTGCCACTCAATCATGTTGTGTCTTGATGATGTATTTACTCTATAATTCTGAATGTATTTCAGCATGTTAGTCTCTAAATTTGGAAGAGAAATTACAGATGACTTCTGTAATCCCAAGAGCCAGTGCTTTTGAGTAATTTCTGTTGAGTAATTGTGATTCCTGGCACCCAGGGCTTAGGAAGATGCAGAGAAAAAGTTAGTTAATGAAGTGTATGACTTTCAAAATCTTAGCATTGACTGGTGTCCCATTTTTTGCTGGTTGTAATTAAATGTTTCTGATAAACCACTTTCTTCTCTTTTTCTCTTTAGGGCATCAAAAGGGGTATAATTGAGATGGCAGATATGGTAGCTATAACTAAATCTGATGGAGACTTGATTGTGCCAGCTCGAAGGATACAAGCAGAGTATGTGAGTGCACTGAAATTACTCCGCAGGCGTTCAAAAGTCTGGAGACCAAAGGTGAGCTCGCATTCCATTCTGCATTTTTCACCCTGAGTGGACTGTGCACATTAGAAGAGAGGATGTAAGTCCCAAGTGAGACATATAATCAATCTTTGCTTGTATGTGAGATTACAATTTAAAAAATCATGACAAAGCCAGAGTGTGTAGTCATGATTTTAAATATAATCCTTCAACCACTAAATGTCAAAGACTACATGTGGGGTGATAGATTAGATTGCTTAATGCTTGACTTGAGCCATTTGGAAGTGATAGCAGATCCATTCTGAAAGGAACCATCCTTAAGATTATGGAGCAATTAATGATTTGATTATCTATATTAGAGTTTGAGTAAGAGAGAAAAGGCTTTTGATGTGATAACTTCCCTTCCCATTATGCTTGTTGGGTGCTGATTTCAATAAGGAAAAGAAAAAAGAAAAATCCTGTAGTAAGTGATGCAGTAATATTGATGTGGGCAGCTTCATCTGCAGGACGACACTATGTTATTAAAGAATAAGCTATAATCACTGTAATGAGAACAATGATGACATAGCTCACTGTCAGCTCCCAGTCTCCCCCACACGTTGTCTGTGTTGGTCTGGTGCCGTCTTGTGCATGCAAGTGCCAGATGCCCAGCTCTTAGCACTTGCTGAATCAGGCAACTTTGACAGAGGGGATAGGGCTATTTTCTCAACTTAGCTTCATTTTCTGGCACTCAGGCCTCAGAGAAACTTACACAGCATGGCCCTTCTCATCCTCGTGACCCTCTCACAGTTCCTCCCTGATGCCTCTGAAGACCATCTGAGCAATCCTAAGTCGAAATAAATCTCTGGGCTAAAAGTTTGACCTTGAATCAGTGTCTTATTTTTGCTATACACTTAGTAATCCTAGTAAGTTACCTCATATAGTTCTCAGTATATCTGCTTTGACACAGCAATAAAATGTCTCATTTTTGTCCTTGTCTGTTTCTATAGACTGTAAGAATTAATTGGCAAATATCAGAGTCCCCATGAAAATGGTTTCTCTCATCATAAGTAAAACGGTTCTGATTCTTCCCCTTTCACTAGGTAATTCGTATTTCTGCCAGAAGTGGAGAGGGCATCACTGAAATGTGGGATAAAATGAAAGAATTCCGGGACCTAATGCTTGCCAGTGGGGAGCTGACTGCGAAGCGACAGAAGCAGCAGAAAGTCTGGATGTGGAATCTCATTCAGGAAAGTGTGTTAGAACATTTCAGGACCCATCCCACAGTCCGGGAACAGATTCCTCTTCTGGAAAAAAAGGTTCTCAGTGGGGCCCTGTCCCCGGGACTAGCAGCAGACTTGTTGTTGAAAGCTTTTAAAAGCAGAGACTAATGAAATTTATCCTATACAATAATTTTATGTATCATTGCATAAAGTATTTTAATATTAAAAGTCACTTGTTTGCTTATATTTTCAGTAATTCTTTTGTGGTGCCCTCGGCCTCCTTATTTGTGACCCACACGTGAAAGCTTGAAGAACATTAGATATGGATGCCAAAGTTCAGGCAGTTGGACAGTATTTGTAAGTTACCTGTTGTATCTCACTGATTTCCATTTCTTTTTATTCTTGTACCCCGGCACGGTGGCCTGTAGGATAGTTTCTTCTCGTTGGTCCAGAGCAGAGAAAGCTGAGAAGCACAGGAAAAGCTCATGTACCTTAAACTGCTTTTGTTGATTCTGCGTTCTCTTTTCAGAGAAAATGTAAGCAGGAGTGACCACATTTTTTAAGTCTGACTTGAGGCCAGAATATTACACAGTGGGTTTCTAAGAGCTGAAAATCATGATTGACATTTCGTGTACAAGACTATTCCAGGAATTTCTGAAATGGCCGTGTACAGAAAAAGTAGCCAAACAGTTGGAATGTGTAGTGATGTGGACACAGTTTTAAAGTCTGCTTGTCCAGACTTGAGGACCCCCTGTGAGTGGTAGGAGAGCCCAAAGAAAACTGGGGAAATTAGCCAAAAGTAATGTGGGTCTGTGAATCCCCAAGAGTTGGAGTAAACCCCCAAAAGACCCAGGTGAGGTCAGAACAATTCAGGGATTATACAGTTTGAATGCTATCAAAGGCTTTTGCTTCTCTTCCTCCTTGGCCATTTGACTTCATATTAACATTTTAAAAATCTACTTTGTTCTTATAGTGAGGAACAGGTTTTGTCCTCTGGAGGAAGCATGGCGCAGTGATTAAGAGCTTGGGTTCTGGAGCTGGACTGTGTGGGTTTAACTTTTAACGTTAGATCAATCACTTATTAGCTGTGGAAGTTCAGACAAATAACCTAACCTACCTCTTTAAGTTTCAGTTTCCTCCCTGGTAAAATAGAATTGACATATTAACTTTATAGAGTTGGTGAGGATAAATGGGGTAACTCAGGAAAATCATTTTCTGTCGTGATGGTACAAAGGAAATACTCAAAGGCTGCTTGCTATTATTATTATGTTGAAGTTGTGGATACCTGAAGCTGTGCAAACCTTAAATGTAAGCTCAATTTTCTCCCATGGTCTTACTACTACCATCGTGCTCTTGTATATTTTATGATTGTCTTTAAAGCACCTGCTCTAGTTAATTCTTTGAATACATTTTATACTATTTGATGGTAGTTATAACTATGTATATTTGAATAAAATTATTTCTAACCATAAAATTTCTCCATTGCACAAAATGCCTTCCCAGAAATTTCAGACATATTCTATTTTGAACCCTTTGGGATATTTTACACAGTATGTCAGCTTTAGTTCTTACTTGCCCTCTATCTAGAATCACATTTCTTAGTATTTTAGCAAACATTCCTTTACATTTTTTTTTCAAGATTTGTGTTCTCGGCAAACGTACATCATATGTGAGAAGAGAAATTTTGAGAGGTTATCCAGTCAATTTCCCCATTTCAAAAAGGACCATCATTTAACCACCCTATCGAGTGAAAAACCGTTTAGAATCTTCCAGAGAGGGAATTTCATAATTTCCCTTAGGAAGCTTTTACAGGGAATAACAACCTGTCGTTTGTGGTACAACATGAAGTCGTGGTGGAGCACACACGCACTGCATTATACAGAAGGTAGAGCAGAAACGGTGGTTTTGTTAGCCCTAAATTTAGCTATTAATTTCTTCTCAGTCTGAACTACTTTTAAATGTTATAAATACAGTCATAAAAAGCATTAGAAACCCCGCCCCGGTCCTCCTTATGTTGTCATTGTACCACTGGCTATGATATAGAGACCAATTTCTAAGATACTGTTCACTTATTTCTGTTATTTGCTATACTGGAAGCTGTATAATATAGTAAAATATTTGTGGCCTTTAAAAAAAAAATCCATGCTGCCTTTTGTTAAGCTCAATATACCATCCCTCCCTGCCATCTGTGGTTCTACCATACTAGACCCCTGACCTGGTCACAAGTATAGGTTTTGATTTACATCGAGTCAAATCTCAGCTGTGTCACTAACTAACCATATGATTTGGGGCAAGTTATTTCTCCTCTGTCTGTACCAGTTTCCATATCTGCAAAATTAGGGTAAGAATAGCTACTTTACGGGGTTGTTGGAATAATTAAATGAGAAATTGTATGTAAAATGTTTAGCACTCAATAATTGGTAGGTGCTGTTAGAAATATTACACATAGACACTCTTGACAGCTCTTGGTTCTATAAAACATACCAGCATGATTTAATTTTAGTTTGGTCAAACTACTTAATCTCTCCTGCGTCAGTTCCTCATTATTAAATGGGGTTGACAATAGTGTCCACCCAGAGTTGTTGAAAGAACTCTTTTAGTTAATATACATACAGTACCAGGATGTGATAAGTGCTAAATAAATACTTAACAGTAAACAGTCCCCACCTCTTAGGGTTGTTGTGAGGATTAAATGAGTTAGTCTCCCTCTATCATAAAAGGGTAATTCTTTTCTGAAAAAAACCTCATAGGTTGACTTTTCCTTTGTCAAAAGCATAATTACCATTAATTTCTGTAGGTAGGTAAAAATGTGCTGTGTTCTAAACTGAGCTCCAAAATTGACAGACGTTTTGCTAAAACAACACCAAATTTCATTTAAATGACTACAATTACTTGTACGGTTACAGCTGCAGTTAACTTAGCTATCACAATACAACCTTGCAAGGAATTTTCTCTTCCTAGTCTCTCTATAATACGGCTGTTGATCTCTTTCCCTAAGCTCTTGTAGCTGTTCCCCAGTATACAGTGAAGACAAAAGCTAAAGCTCAGGGGCCGGCCCGGTGGCGTAGCGGTTACGTTCGCATGCTCCGCTTCAGCGGCCTGGGGTTCGCTGGTTTGAATCCTGGGCACAGACCTACTCACCGCTCATCAAGCCATGCTGCGGCGGTGTCCCACATAGAGCAACTAGAAGGATATACAACTATGACATACAACTATCTACTAGGACTTTGGGGAGAAAAAAGGGAAAAAAAAGGAGGAAGATTGGCAACGGATGTTAGCTCAGGGCCAATCTTCCTCCCCCCAAAAATTACATTAAAACAAAAAGGTAATGAATGACATACATATGATACTCAGTGTTTACGTAATTCAATCTTTAATGCAGGCAAAAAACACAACAGGAAAAACCAATGAAAACAATTCTAACATTGCACTCACCCAGTAGATTGCCATCATAGAAGTCATGATGCTACTGCTAAAAACTAGTAAACCACATGACTTCAAGAAGAGAAGCAACTCCTGTGGTCTATATGTTTGTGTAGATGGTGGAGCTCAGCTGCCCCTAAAGACTGAGGAATCCATGTAGGGCTTCATCAACACACATGCTTCCTAAGCCAGACTTTATGAAACTCCTCATAAAGTTGAATTCTCATCATTGAAGGGGGTTTATCTTGGGGTACCACTGTAACACACAGAAAGTGTTAGAATGGTGGCTGGCACCAATACTCACTCAGTGTTAGCATTGTTATGCAGGTAAGACTAAGAAAGTGATGAACAAGTCGAAATTTTCCTTGAAAAAGGTCAGAAAGAGACTTTAGCCTGTTTGCTTTTCTTTCTTTCTACTATAATATTTTGGTTACTTGGCTACTAAATTTATGAACTTTTTAAACCCACTTGATGTAAATACTTCATGATAATTCCAGCCCCATGAGGTTTATGTAAGTTCACTATTTTGTCATTAGTGGTATGTTTGATAACAAAATATTAGAGTGTCAGAAAAGCAGTTATAAAACATTGAATGCTTTTTTTTTGTTTTTTTGTTTGTTTTGTTGAGGAAGATTGGCCCTGAGCTAACATCTGTTGCCAATCTTCCTCCTTTTGCTTGAGGAAGATTGTCCCTGAGCTAACATCTGTTCCAGTCTTCCTCTATTTTGTATATGGGACACTGCCACTGGCCTGATAAGTGGTGTATAGGTCCAAGCCTGGGATCTGAACCTGTGAACCCTGGGCCACCGAAGTGGAGTGTGCAAACTTAACCACTACGCCACTGGGCCAGCCCCAAGTGAATGCTTTTTTTTCCAGAAAAAAATGCAACTTGTATTGTAAAATGTAGATGATGCTAATGCGAGTCAAAGTACGTTAATATTTATGTGAAAATTTGATGCAGAAAGGTAACCTTGGGACAATTTATTTTGCTTAGTAGCCACCTCAGCTTCTTGATGGAATGAGGTGAGGGCACATGTAAGTCAGTGAACTGTTTTACTCTCAGCAAGGCTAAATGCTTAATCTCAATTAATGTTGCTTTAATTAACACAGAGGAAATCACGTGACCTCATCCTCAAAGCTCTGTGACATCCACCTGGCCAATGTTAAGGTGTGGTTAGAATTCTATAGAGAGAGATCATAGGATGACAATCAAGCCATTTATTGGGCTCATACTTATGTGCCAAATCTTGTTACATGTAAAACCCAACTATTTCAAGGATCAACACTCTCTTCTTATGAATAAAGTCACGTTAGCTTTTATATCCTAATTTTGCTGACTTAGGATTCTATCACATCACACAGGATCTCAGTCCTCTGAAAAGTCCTCTTCCCAAGTATTTGTGGAAGTCCCAGGGATTCCTCACTGATTCACACACAAGCCCACACCCTTGGGTGCAGCTTACTCCTGCCAGGCTTCTGTTGTGCCTCCACTATCTCAGCTGCTGCTGTTCCTATAGGATAGTGCTGCCCTGCTTAGATGTTCCCAAACCGTGAAACTCTTAAGTTGCCAAAACAGTGCTGTATTCCCAGAGCACAGGATCCCTGCCTCTCTTCTCATAGGGGCTAGTCCATCGGGCTGAGATAGGAACCAACTACCACACCATCTCTCATCGCGGTTAGCTCTCCTGTCTCTTCCCCCAGGACCTAAGCACACAGTCTCTGCAGAAAACTTACCCTACACAAGCTCCCTTTTCAAAATGTGTACCA